CTCCAGACCTGCTTTCACCTGCCTTAACCAAAAGATTATCCTTTATCTCCTGGACTTTCTTATCTTCTTCAACTGTTGCAGCACACAAGGCAGGATTAGAACAGATAACAGCCTCCACCACTTCACAATTTTATAGACCTTTTCCAAGCACCTACTCTCCAGAGCCAGTTTCTCTTCTGAGGCCTAGCTGGAAACGTAAAGGCTAAACGGCAGCTCTCCAGAGAGGCTGAAGACACAAGGCAGGAGTCAGAGCATGCAGAAAACGTCTCCTCATCACACTGCTCTGCAAAGCTGATGCACTCAGCATAAAAACAACAGAGGGACCCCAGCAGACAGGAAGCCTGCAGCCTGCTTCCAACTTCAGAACAAAGGAATGCTCTATTGCCTTTGCCACTGCCATGCTTATACCACTATCACGCACTCTTGGTAATTAGCATCAAATTGATTAGCAATGACAATGACAAATCCCAGTGGCAGCCCCACGGTGGAATCCCTGAAAAGCTAGCAAGGCCCTTCTGAGCAATGGTTGAGAATCACTGTAGCAAGCTAAAGCTTGCAATCCTTTCTGCAGGTTCTAAGGTCCCAAAGACTTCAGAATGGCCACAGATCTTTGACATTCCCAAAGGCTGAAAATGGCTCACTTCAGATTTATACGTCTTTGTGTCTGCCTGATGCTGTGGTGATTGTTCATGTCACTGGAAGTATTTCCTCCTGGTGGCAGTGGTATTCTGCCAGCTTGTTAAAACATTTCCCATGGTCACCCAGTGTGCACTGTAGGATTAATTAAATAACTATCAGAAAAGCAGAGTCATTCTTTTCCTGCTCAGAGCTGTCTCCACACAAGTACCCCATCAGTGTTCCACTTACTTTAATCCTGTGGACAAGGGGAGCAAAGAGGAACACGAAGAGCTCCACTGTGGCCATGGAGTTCTGGAAGAACTTCCTTCTGTTATTCTCCTCCTCGTCATTCGTGGTGCTGGGACGGGGATGTCCTGGTGACCCTTGGTTTTCTGCCTGGTGGATAAAAGCGCTACTGCTCCCTCCCCAACTAGAGCCTCTGTCTCCTCCAAATCGGTCATTGCTGCAGTCCTGAGGGGCCTCCAGCAGCATCCAGTGAAGAGTGTGAAGAAGCTTTGTTTCAGCTACTCCAAGCTTATCCTGATGTCCTGGATGGAAAAATGCATCACAGTATCTCACAGGGTTTCCATTAATGGTACCGTTGAGACTTTCAGAGCTGCACAGGAAACTGGGCATCCAACTTCCTGATAAGCATTTGAAAATTAAAATTCCACCATTAGAAGTATCAGCATTCTGTTTCATGATGTTTGAAATCTCCTAATTCACAAGTCTCTATTTACTTCACAGCATTTGCAGTTTAGGCCATAGAGTGGTCCTAAAAGATGCCAGCTCGACAGTCTTGTCTGTTTGACTTAACTGAATAAGACAAAACGTAAAATGAGCACTGCGAGGTGCTCAAGCTGTGTCCTGTTAATGTTCCCTACTGGCATGTCTCATGAAGTAAATTCCTGCTGAAATCACTGCTGAAATCAGTAAAAGACTAGTAAAGTAAGTTACATTTGGGCCTGGCCCTATTCTTATTATCTGATTGACTTATCTGCTGAGAATCACATGCATTGGTCTGAATAAAAAGAAGCAAATAAAAAAAAAAAAAGAACTGAAGATACTAAAAGTACCTGTTGCAATTGGCCACTGCAGCACGCCTTGAAAGGAATACGTATTCCTTCAAGGAACCCATGCCTGCGGGGTAGCAAGGCTTTTGCTAAAGCTAGTTCTATTATCTCTGGAAAAGAACTAGCAAAATATTATTGAACTGCTTTGACTGTTTAGCTCTTCAAGCCATTAACTTCACTGGGGAAGCTCTCATAGGTTACCCTGCTACAAATAAGAACAGATCCAGAAAAGCAATCCACAGAATGAACTAACTGGGATTCTAGGATTTAGAGTATGTTGGCATGCTGAGCATCAATCTGTCATATTTTGACTGATGACTTCAATAATGGAAAGACAAACTCACATGAGCACTAACCTAGCTTGTTTCGGTTGGAGAGCAATGTTGCGGTGCAATGCAGCACATGCGGGAGCGCAGCCTGGACAAGTTCCCAGCGAGAAATGCTCTGGATGGCTTCAGAGAGAGCTGGAGAAAGGCCATGCAGCTTGTTCTCTACTAAAACTCTTTCAAAAGACTAAAATTGAGAACAAAGAAAAAGAAGACACTGTATATCTATTTCTGCACATACCTTCTAATACATAGAACATTCTCTTTTAAAAACTTGTAATCTGTAATTTTTCATTATGTAACCTTATAATATTTTTCCTGGAGGACACAAACTGTAGCTGCAGCTCACCAGACACATGGACATATTGGGCTAAGAAATGAATGGGCCACTCAATATATTTTCTGTAATTAAAAAAGAATTAAAGCAAGTATCATGTGTATATTAGTAAATGCTGACATCAAGTCAGACTTACATTTGTGCTGGGTATTAATCTCGCATGCCAGTAATCCCGTTGGAAGTCACAGGAGCTAATGAAGCCTATATTTGTGGAGTCGAGAGCTGGAGATTCTTCTCACACACGCACGCTCTTTCAGCTTAGTGTAACATAAAGGGCAGCCCATTAAAGGTATGTGGGCCTTAGGAAACGTTTTCACACCCTGCCACAAAAAATAATCAGTGTACAAGATTTTTTGTCGAGCCATGATGTAACGGTTTTGTGAACACTTAAAAGAGCTGATGGCTGCAGCAAGTTCATTATTTCCACCTCAAGCAACATGAAATAAGACTATCTGCCTTTGAAATCCCTAAGGAAGTTCCTTATTGCTAGTTGCTTCAACCATTGGTGGTTGGTGAAGGGCCTGGAGAACAAGTCTTATGAGGAGCGGCTGAGGGAGCTGGGGTTGTTCAGCCTGGAGAAAAGGAGGCTGAGGGGAGACCTGATCGCCCTCTACGACCTGAAAGGAGGGTGTAGCGAGGCAGGGGTCGGCCTCTTCTCCCTGGTAACTAGTGATAGGACAAGAGGAAACGGTCTCAAGTTGCACCAAGGGAGCTTCAGGTTGGATATTAGGAAGAATTTCTTCACTGTAAGAGTCGTTAGGCATTGGAACGGGCTCCCCAGGGAGGTGGTGGAGTCACCATCCCTGGAGGTGTTCAAAAAACATTTAGATGTGGCGCTTCGAGACATGGTTTAGCGGGCATGGTAGCATTAGGTAGAAGGTTGGACTTGATGATCTTTGAGGTCTCTTCCAACCGTAACGATTCTACAGTTTCAAGAAGTTGTTCCTCTGACCAGATACAAAGATCTCACTATAGGTCACCAAAGCAGTTGTATTCCTTCACTGAAGTTCCTAAAGCGAAGAAATACATTACTGATAATGCATATCCTTGCCATATACCAGCTTAGCCTTCTGGCTACCTATTTGCTCACAAGTTATTTCATCAATTTTATCAAGCTCTGGGCAAACAAGTAACTGCTGGCATTCATGACCTAACGGATGCTTCAAATGCCCTCACTCCAGATTCATAAAGCTTGTCCTTCAACTCTAGTTATACCGATGTTTTCTGTAAAACTGGGTGTGTGTGTGTGTACTAATAGACTTAACTACAAAGAAGAAAAGTAAAGAGGGCAGCAGTCGTAACCTAGCTCTCCTAAACGACCAGCCACTCCCAAGTGCGGCATGCTAACCAGCGGCAACACACACTCTTCCATGTACCCCAGCAGCTGCGCACATTTGTTCTCCCAGGTTGTGGCCACGTTCGCTGGCATGGGTGGACATGAGCTCCTCTGTTGAGAGGGAGGATGCCCTCATGCAAGCACCGTTGTGGTTTTACAGCATGCCTCTAACAGCTCCACTCTGGCCAGCATGGAGACACAGAAATGCACATCTATCTGTATGTACAACCTAAGAGAGAAACTCCCCAATAGCACCAGGCCTAGACAAAGAGAAGGGGAGATAGAATGTATGATTTACACAGGTGTATTTGCAGAGTATTCAGAACTCCGTGTGCTTATAGAGGCCTAAGCCTGTAGCAACACAAATCGCACCTGAGGAAATACTGACAAGAAACATCAGAGCTGCCAACAAACATAAGTGTGTAGAAAGTCACACACTTACTAGAAACCCCAGGTTCTAGTCAGAAAACTCAATAGACTGTCTTTATGGAGCAATGGCTGAAATTGGAGGACATTACTTGTAATATAAGGACAAAAATGTTGGCTTCCTGACAATTAGTCAAAAATAACTTGTTGTGGATTAGGTTGTCAACAATGCGTACTTCCTAGCACCAGGATCAGACAACATATCTACCAGGGAAAGGATGCCCCAAATCACTCTCATAGCGATCTGTAGACATTCTGGCCCCCAGCAAAGGGAAATGGTCTCCTGCCATTCATTCCTACCAGTTCAGGAACGGGGGAAACATGAAGGGATGGCCGATGCTTGAAAGCCTTGGCAGGCGAGGCAGTGAAGTACTCGTCGTAAAGTTTGAGTATTCTGTTCCATTCAGGAGCCATGAAGGCACTGAACCACAGTAGCAGTCGAGAGCACATTAGTATAAAGACAACAGAGGCCTAGAAGAAGTTTCTACCACGTTAGTGAGCTGAATTAGCTCACTGAAAGGCCTGCCAAGCACCAGTGCTGACCTAGGCTTATCAAAAGAAATTATCTTCTCACCTCTAGTAGAAAAGCCAATCCACAAGCTCACGCTTCAGTACAGTGACAAAGCCATTCAGTTTAAAGAGCAAGAAGAGATAAAAAACAAAACAAAACAAAAAATCACCCCGAGTAGCAACAGTATTCTGAAGCGTGATGGGAGACACATTGTTGCTCTCTGGCTTTCCATTCAAGGTCTCATTCAGGGGTACTTTAATGGCATCAGGAAGAAAGTCCTCCAACAACTGCCTTCTGGAAGCTCTGCTCCACATTCTGCACACTTCAGAAACTCAAGAGGAAGCCAAGGAGTCTGCAATTATGTCTTTAAATTAGCCTTGTATTTACCTAAACATTTTGGGTTTCTGAGCCACATGAAGCTTTTCCTACATGGTTAGCCACCAGATTCCTCTGTTCTTTCCTGGCCTGAGCAGAAAGCTAAATGTATTTCCGTACCACAATGAAAGATTAGCTTCCAGAACGCCATATGTGATCAGAAGCATCTGAGACAGAAGTACTGTATGCTGCCAGAAAAATGCTAACACAAAGGCTACTGTATGGAAACCACCGAGTGTCCCTGTGTGCTATGGGCACTGGCTGGTACACAATGGCCACTGTGATGTCCTGTCAGCACAGGACCTCGTTGGTGTCAGTCCCCACACTGATAACGGTCACAAGCAGCCCAAGAAGAACATGCAGTTCTTGGGACAGTGCTCCTATGGGATTTGCCCAGAGTTCTCCACAAAGGTTCAGCTCACAGCAGCTTCTGCCTGCACCAGACATTCAAGATGCAAGGCCTTGAGTTAGCATTTGCTCCTGTAGAACCTCCCTTTTGGCCTGCTATGGCTCTGCTCTAACTTTCAGGACCCACTACAGAGAACATACAGACACTAAGATATAAGACCTAATTTTCACCCCACACGAACTAAGCAACTGCTGCTACAGCTGAGCAGTGTTACATGCTTCAATGAGAAGGCTGAATGAGAAGTCTGAAGCAAGCTCCCTGTAAGTCAGTCAGAAGAGAGAGATTGTCATGCTATGGCTATGTCTGGAGCTGCAGCCTCAGGGCTGCTGCTTGGCTAAAAAAAAACCAGTTACCTACTTACAGCAGGCTTGTCCGTGCCTGCAACACCCCGCTTGCCAAAGGAGGATAAAGAACATCTGCCACAGTGGTAGTGAGGGAAGTCAGTGTTATGCCCTGGTTGGAGAAAGGGCAGCCCCTTTCAGCAGTGCTCTGTGTATGTTCAGCTCCCTCCGGGCCACTTACACAAGTGTTTTTTTCCTTTTAGCCTGGTGTTGCCATCTGTTTTCACAGGGAGTGATGGTCAGTCTTGCCTGGCTGCCTTCCCACTGCTGCTGTTCTCCTTTTACCTTCTTCCCCACCAAGAACGAAAGGGGCTGTCAAACACCTTGTGAGCAGGGTCAGCCTGCGTGTCACCTCGCTCCCGGAACAGCAACACGTAGCTGCCCGAAGAAGGCTAGACAAGTAGGCCAGGCCAGAGCAGATTCTGGCTGGGCTTTGCCATGATTTCCTATACAGCTTTGCTTGAGTCGCATGAACTTCCCCTGCTCTAAGCCCAGGGGAGCTGTACCTGCAGCAAACTGTATAAGGCAGCAAGGGCTCAGCCAGGCCCCTAGCCCCCACTAGACAGCCAGGACCTTGGGAAGCTCAGCACCCTCCTGTTCCACCCTCTCAGGAGCGCCAAACGAGTTGCAGGTCTGCAGGTTTCCTCTAGGGAAGCAGCCCTAGAGAATCTCACTTGGGAGAAGGGGTGGGGGGGAGGAGGCAGTAAACTGGGAGAGGAGGGCCCAGTGCTTAGCCTAGTGTATGTACAGAAGGACCCTGGCAGAGACACAGAGAAACTAGTAGTGCTTCCTGAACCAGACTTCTGTCCTTGGAGGGAATCTTACTGCCCTGTTCTTCCAAAGCTCAGGCTGCATGATGGTGGAAAGCAGAGATCACTGCTAAAAGAATTTGAAATGCAGACAGACAGTAACGTCAGTATGGGGAAGGTCCTCTGGGTAGGAAAGAGTTCCTAGAAAGATCTAGAACATTAATCTAGGAGTTCATAGCACAAGGGATGGTAAGGCTCCATTGTTTACTAAACACAGTAATAGTACAAACATTGACAAGCAATGAAACACAGATGCCAAGCACTTTAATTACAAAAAATTCCAATGCTCAAAAACTCAATTTTCTGCAACCATGTCCATTGGCTAGATAAAATAAAGGTGTTCTCTTTTTAAACTTTGTTCCATATGTACCCTTTAATCATTCATAACAACAAAACATACTACTACATTTGTAAAAAAAAGTAAAAAAACCAAACCCACAGAAAAAGAGGGAGACTGAATTTACAGAATCCTCCAGAAAACGTTTGGGTTCTTCCATGCTCATTGCAATTCGGGATAAAAGAATTGAAAACATATCCTTGAGTCCCTTACACTCACCCCCAAAAAAATGCATTAGCTTTGTATAGCACTCACATACATTCCTGTGCGGTCATTTACAGCTTTGGCTCATGCATGTGAAGAACGACATTGTGTCAGGGCAGAGAGAACTTCAGAATGGGGAGAAGAAAGACCATTAAATCTATACTGAGGCACAAGAGCATTCAGACAGTGTAAGACAACGAGGGGGCAGGGGAAGTTGTATTTATCTTCAGATGAAAGGCTATTCTTCATAGACCAATTGAAGTCATTGTGATTGTTCAGGTAATGAAAACAAGGCTATGAAAGTGCCAGGTTTTTCCTCAAGTATTATGGTATAAAGCAAAGCTCAAAGAAGCAATGCAATCTGCTCTTGCAGACCAGGTGCTGCCTAATATGCAGCAAATTCTACTGTTGCAACTTTAGAGCCAATAATAATAATAGACAACTGTCTGACAATGTGTATGACACAACATTGTGCAGTCAACAGCCTATAAACATGCCTAGAACAATTCTGGCTAGGCAATTTTAAAAGGACGATCATATAACTGGTGCATAGTATTTTTAGGCACACTACTCAATACAGTAGTGTTAGATAGTCAGCTTGATGTTTCAGAAGACAAGCCAACTACCTGTTAAGTTCCAGAAACTGTCTCACCGATGCACGCCGCACTGTGCCACTCTGCTGGATAACACAGAAGGTGTTGGTGTGGGCAGACACCCCTGTGCATTGGTAGTGATAGGAAACTGATGAGCAAAAAAAGGTGGTAGACGGAGCAGCTCAGGTTGTATCCCATCAATTGCTGAAAACTAAGCCCCACCTTCGAAAGCTTTCTACCGTAAGTTAATGATTATATTAAAAATTGGAGAAGAATCAAGTTCTCTGTGATCCAAGGGGTGGAAATGGATTGGATCTTCATGAAATGCATTTTTCCAGAGCTCCCTTTCCCTTGGCTGAAGCATGTGATTTATGTTGTTTTGCAGTTTGTTTTTGTTTTTTTTAAACCAGTAAATTCTGATACGTGCCCATTGGACAAAGATGCTGTAGAAGTAGCCTGGGGGAAATAGAGGAAGACCTGATGCCAACAGCACAGCATGAAGCACAAGGAAGTCACAGACAGATAGGTACATCATGAGCACGCACAGAGAAGGAAGCTCTGTCCCTCTATCCAACAGTGACAGATATTAACTTGCAGGTGGGGCCACAGCTTCAGATTATATGTGCTTCAAGGCACGGTTCCTGCACACTGCCGAGCCTCCTGGTAAAGGACATAAGGCAGCAAGCTCCATTTTCTAGCCTCTAAACAACCAGGAACAACCAATCAATGGAATAAAGCATTGATGATGCTTTTTGCTCCATGGGCCAGAACTGCAATACGTTTTACTCACCAACACACTAAGTCAGCAGTCCTCTATCAGTACTTGGTATCTAGCAACAACCCTGAAAAATTTATGGATTTCTTGGAAGAAAATTAGTCAGCAGCAGCTAGGGCTTCTCCAGTTTAATATCTTGTGAAAAGGAAGTCAGAAAATTGCTGCAGAGAGACCTAAGTACTTTAAACTATTAAGATACATGTCCAGACCAAGTTTTTCCAGTCTGTCAAGTTTGGCTGCAACTGCTTAATGCACTTTAAGCCATCCAAAGATCAGCAACAGTTCAAGGAATTCTGAAATTCCCTAGATACCCATCTTATTTGAACTTGCTGCATGCCTTCCCTTTTTCCTCCCTTTAGACAGTAGATGGAAGTTTCGTTTGCAATACAGCTAGAAATAAGAGTCATTAGTATTTGCATAATAACTTCTCTTTAATTATGCTGCTAAGACATGCTCCCTCCGTTTTCCAGTAGAGGAAGTATTTTCATCTTGCACAATGATAAAAGTATTGTTTAAAGCCTGTTAGTAATGTTTAGACTTTCCAGGATTTTAAGTCTAAAAAACCTCCAGTAATCGCAAACTGAAATGACATCAAGCTCATCTGAAAGCACACACACACGATGAACTGCAAGTTTAGACCCAGATTGTCGTAGCTCAGTCTGCCTATACCATTATTTACTTCATTTAATTACTAATTAGTTCAACTACTAATATCCAAATCAATACATTTTTGTAGTGTCTAGAGACGCACATGATATCCAAATTCTCTAGATGGGAAAAAGTTTCAAATCCTTCATGTGATAAAAGTACAAAATTAAGCTGAATGGACTAAATCCACTTCTGGCGTAAACTGAGCAGCTTGCTGATCAGCCACCATGGTCAGATTAAGCTGCATCAAAACTTAGCTACTAATAAGAGTTGAAAAAGAGAAACAGGTACGTACCACACAGGAAGCTTCATATTGTTTCCCCAGTTTAGGTCTTAAAAATGCACTGAAGGAAGGGAGAAAACGAGTTAGAGACCCAGTACTTCACGTGTGGATTTTGCTTAGTTATTTTTAGGATTTTTCTCATGTCAAAAATGCAAAAGGCTGAGAAACTTAATGTAAAGGACAACATAAGGCCAAAACAATGTTCAGATACCTGTTGACTGACATCTGACAAAATGCTGTTACCATTTCTAGAAGACAAAAATACCCACAACTGATGATATGCCAAGAGGTAGTTAATCCACCCTCAAGAAAAGTCCTGTTCCCCATGGCTAAAATCCTCCATCAGACAGTTTTCAGCCATTTTACCTCAGTGAAAGATTTTCAATATATTCGGTTTAAAATGTGTTAAATATTACTGAACTTTGCCTTGTGCCTATTTTAAGCCAGAGATCCACTTGACAGTTTTGTAGCAAGTATTTTCCTCCATAACTGCTGACGTGGAAGGCTTATGATGAAATGCAGGCCTGTACCCTGTAGGTAGACAACACCCACCCTCTGCTGTCATTCCCCTCCAGAATGGGATCAGAGTTAAAAATGAAAATTAATCGGGTCACCTTATTACAGCATTATTTTTTTTTAGAGGACACTGAAACTGTGGAATAAAGGGATTTTGTGACCGAGGCCTTAAATTGGAGCCACAACCTTCGAACCTTCCAACCTCCTCCCACAGCTCCTGCACCGTTCTCAGTTTAGAATTCTGTTAAGACAGGAGACAGACAGGATTCACAAGGAACATAAAGTCTCAGCCATACATTCAGCCTGCCCCTCACACATCACTATTCTCCAATCCAATGAAATAAGGTGAGACTTTGACGTATGTGTTTGCATGCTGACCTTTCAAAGCATAGATTACACTTCCAGGACAGCTGCAAATACAGATACAAGCAAAGCTGCAAGTCTGGTGCAGCACTGAAACATGCTGCTTCTGGTACCAGAGCTCCAGGAGTCCTCTTAAAAGTGGGAGGGGGGGACACGACATGGGACAGAGAGGAGGGGAAAGGCACAGACACACATACACAAAGATGTTTTAAAGTCAAATCAAGAACCTGCCTCCAGTCCTTCCCCCATCCGCAATACACAGAGATTGCTCTATGCTGAGCGCAAAGAGAACAGCTTGTTTCACGCCTTCACGCTGCAGCTGCAATAACCACTTACTCCCCGCC